TAACAATATTAGGAACCTTTAGGAAAGGGACAGATAATAAGAGATAAAATATCATATTGCTACTGTGTAAATCTACGGTATGTCTACATCTTGAAGACTGTGTGCAGTTCTGGTTGCCCCATCTCAAAAAAAGTATATTACAAATGAAAAAAGTACAGAGAAGGTCAACAAAAATGACTAGGGGTGTGGAACAGTTCCATATGAGGAGAGATTAAAAAGACTGGGACTGTTCAGCTTGGAAAGGAGATGACTAAGGGGGGATATGATTGAGGTCTATAAAATCGTGAATGGTGTGGAGAAAGTGAATAAGGAAGTGTTATTTTAACACAAGAACCAGGGGTCACCCAATTAAATTAATAGGCAGCATGTTTAAAACAAATGTAAGGAAGTTCTTCTTCACACAACACACAGTCAACCTGTGGAACTCATTGGCAGGGGATATTGTGAAGGCCAAAGGATAACTGGGTTCAAAAAAGGATTAGATGAGTTCATGGAGGACAGGTTCATCAATGGCTACTATCCAAGATGGTCAGGGATGCATGTCCATGCTATGGGGTGTCCCTAAGCCTCTGACTACCAGAAGCTGGGACTGAACAATAGGGGATGGATCCATTGATAAGTGCCCTGTTCTGTTCATTCCTCTGAAGTATCTGGCACTGGCCACTGATGGAAGACAGGAGACTGGGTTAGATGGACTGGTCTGACCCAGTATAGCTGTTTTAATATTCTTAAATTATTTTCCTATCAATGAAACTACAGCAGAACCTTTTTAAAAAATACCCTGGAATAAATAATATCATACCTGCAAAGGGACAAACTGTACTTTTAACATAAAAGGGTAATAAGCCATTCCACAGCCAACAGTGAACACTGTATCTGGTACCTAATACTTAGGGTTTTAATTACAAGTATACTGTATAATGACAACATAACACTTGTTGAAGTTCTGTTCTAAATACTGCCAAAAACATGAATACAAACAACCTAAGCCTCCTTTTCTTCTTCCTAGAGACTCTTTCTGTAAGTGCAGTTGAAAATTCCTGATCCATATTAAATGTTATAACCCATTACTATGGTTCCAATCTGAAGAAAACCTTCTTTATTAGTGGAATTCAAAAATCAAACCAAAAATGATTTTGGAAAAATTACACCAATTAAGAGTTACAAAATTCATTTGTACTCAAATGAAAGAAAAGTGTCCCTTTTCCAGTTAATGATTCAAGCTGAACAATGAGCACCATTGTAGAACAGATTCAGGCAGCTGCGATTGTGGTGGCAGCGGCCTACTAGGTGAGATTACTGGCAAACGGTTAAATCTGACAGCCCACCACGACAGAAAGCTGAGCCATGACTATGCTTCCGGGAAAAATTACTACGGATTAATGTGCTCGATGGCTGAGGGAGAATGCCTCAAACAGGAGGTATAATTAGGTGAATGTTTTTCCAAACAGGTACTGAGCAGCCTGGTCTGATGAATACTAGAACAGAAGAGAGCCTGGAACACCACCACCAACAAAAAATGGGTTTCTCTGTTCTGTTTGTTTTGCCACATTCCATCTCTCCCCCCCAGAACCAACTTTTCCCCCTCCTCAGTCCAGCTTGCTTCTTTTTGTTACTAGTGGCAGCCACAGGAGGATAGGACCTATGGAAAGGAGCAGGAGCTTCATAGCTCCCTTCCCCCAGCAATTCCAGAAGACTCTTCCCTGTGGAGAAGCAGGGTTAGTGGGAAGGCCTAGAGTCCCTTCCTCCCTCAGACAACAAGAGAGGAAACCTCCAGTGGACGGGAGATGCCTACTGTGAAGGAAGCTTCACAACTCAGTAGGCAGTGTTCAATGTGCAGTGGCTGCCAGCAGGGGGTGCAGCCGGGCATGCTTTCAATTGAGAGGGAACCTTGCTTGCAACCATGATCCTCTCAACACAAAACCATAAATGGCAGAATGAGTTCAGGAATACTGTTTCCATTCCAAATACTTCGCCCAGCTCTGCAAATATTAGAAGCCAAAGTATTTGTGTATTGTGCATATGCCAGGGCCACATCATTAACATTACTTTTGTGAAAAGAACAACATTCTCCATCCATTTCTTCAGATCAAAAATCTGAGTTTGCAAACAGGCTATCCTCAGTAACATGAGCACATAAAAACAAGACTTTTTTCTGAACTACGACTTAGCATTTCATAGGTAGCTCATAATTTGTTCTAATTAAGACTGTAACTATGCAAGCAGAAAGTGATACTTATGAAAAATCAGCCCCACCCCTCTTCCCCTACCCTAGACATTTGTTACAATCAGTCATTCATTGGGGAAAGGGATTTTCAAAAGTTCAAGGAGTGCTAAAGGAAGATGAAGTGTCTTGAAATTGCCTCAGTCTGAAAGGAATGTTTTGAATATAATTCAATGGAGAGGAGAGCTCAGAAGTCATGCAGCACAATATACATAATCTTATATGTGCTTCTCATCAGTAGATCACAAAGTGCTTTAGAAAGTAGGTGAGTGTCATTGTTATATGTGTATATGTATATATTACACACAAACACTATGTTAAAAGAACATCAAGTTAGCAAAGTCAAGCACTCAAAGGTTAGGAAATGCCAGAATTAAGGTACCCACGCAGCTTTAATTTAGCTCCTTTTGTGCACGCATTACGATACAGTCTTTAATTATATGATCACATACTCAATATCATTTTTTTTCCCATGGGACCCTGGTCTCATTCAGTGCACAGAATGGAAAGGGCTCACTAAATGGGTAGCTATTCCATATTTTTTATCCTCATTGTTCCATATGAGGGTATCACAAACCCTAATGAATTTATTTCCACCATACTCCGCAGATGGGGAACTGAGGCACATAGATATTAAGGTCAGTAGTGCCCAGTTTGAGATGCTTAGGGCATAATTCTTCAGAGGACCTAGCATTTTTATAGCACATTATATGTTCAAGGTGCAGCTCCTGTTGAACTTGGCTGCAGCTTAAGTGCTCAGCACTTCTACAATCCAGGCCCTAGGGTCTCAAGTTTGGCACCCAGAAAATGCAGAACTCACAATTGGTGATCACCTGGGAAAATCTGGTGTAAGTACTTACTCATCACCACACGGGAATTCTGTGGTAGAGGCAGGGACAGAATTCAATTCTACAATATTCAACATGTATCATGGCATTCAACTTACATCATAGCATTGAAAAGCCTTAACCACAAGACCATCCTATTTCTTCCTGCAGTTTGATGCCTCATTCACCGCACATCTTCCAACTTCTACAAGCTGAGACAGGAGACCTACAGACAACAGCCCCGTTCACTACAACCATGGCTTTCAACCTTTCCAGACTACTGTACCCCTTTCAGGAGTCTCATTTGTCTGGCGTACCCCCAAGTTTCATCTTATTTAAAAACTACTTGCTTACAAAAACAGATATAAAAATAAAAAAGTGTCACAGCACACTATTACTGAAAAATGGCTTACTTTCTCGTTTTTACCATATAAATATACAATAAATCAACTAGAATATAAATATTGTACTTACATTTCAGTGTACAGTATATAGAGCAGTATAAATAAGTCATTGTATGAAATATTAGTTTGTACTGACTTCACTAGTGTTTTTTATGTCGCTTGTTGTAAACCTAGGCAAATATCTAGATGAGTTGATGTACCCCCGGAAGACCTCTCTGTACCCCATGGGTACGCATACCCCTGGTTGAGAACCACTGCACTACACAACTCATTCATTCCCAGAGCATCGTCCATCCTGTGTGTGCGTGCGCAGACACATACAGATGTAATATATAATGTACATATATACACATTTTCAGTGTGCTCACATTTACACAGCAGCCTCAGAAACCACGGCACCATATTGACCACTTTTTTAAAGTATTATAATATTTTGTACTTCCTTCCATTCAAGGGTGACTTTAAAAACTTTAATGAATTTAGCTTCAAAACCTTCCTATAAGCCAAGTACGTATTATTATCCCATTTTACTAACAGAGAAACTCAGGCACAGAAAGATTAAGTCACATAGGAAGCCTGCGGCAAGACCAACCTTCCATCAGTTTGTGTGTTCAGTTATTCCAGAAACACATCTACATTTCTCAGCACAGTTTCAAATGTGTAACAGCTTTCTTGATCACAATCCTTTACAAAACAGGCCAGGTTTATATGCATGCAAATTTTTATGGGGAACAAACATGTGTGTTCTTTTTATATATGCATCTGAATATCTGTTTGCACACACTACTCCATTTGGAGCATGCATGTTTTTAATAATTTAGCCCTATGCATACGTGTCCCATAAGAGTAGGTACATGTGTGCATGAACATGTGTATAAATAAAGAAAAGAGCTGGATTGCCAGGTAATGGTATATAAAGAAAGCAATATGGGATTAAGTTCTACCACTTAGTGAAATCTGTTTCAATATTAAACCTAATGTAATAAACTGAAAAAAGCAAAAAATGAATTGATGCCCTTTTATTACAGTATGGCTGAGAAATTTTATTTTTTAAAAGTATTTTTAAGCTACCCTTCTTCCCTCTTCACTGGTTCACAACAGGAGTGCTTAAAAATTGCCCTCACATGCCTATGAAACATAAAATTGTAGACATTATGAAAATGGGATGTATCCTCTTCTTAAGAGTATATTTGAATATTTTCCATAGTTCACAGTTAGTATCCTAGAAATACATTAGTCTTAAATCATGGATGTCTTAAACCGCATTTTAAAGAGTGTCAGGGCATTTGGGAATCTGGGTGAATTATGGTCCCCTTGCTTAGTTAGGCATGTAGCATAATGTTTTATTCCATGCAGATGGTAACATGACGCAGGCCCTATTTAATGTAAAAGGAACTGGCTGCTTTAAGATTAAAATCTGAGCATCAGCAGCATTTACAATACTGATACAAAGCTACACACCTGCTTTATGTCCTGGCTATATATTAATACTCTGAATATAAACACATCCACAGATATATTTTATGAAAAGAAAGGAGCACTAACCTGGAGAAGAATGCAGCACTGTTAATGAAAGAGATTTCATCTGGTAAATCCATTTCCTCCAAACATGCACTACTGTCAGTTAATCGGAGGCTGACTTGAGGAATTCCATCCGACAACTCTGGTTGTGGCAAGAGGCGTTCCTGTACAGATCCTTCCCTCGTGGACTTTGTGATCTAGAGAGGAAAAGAAAGAACAAAATGAAAATGAAAGGAGGGCACAGCAACCTTTCCAGCTAATTTGTAGCAGAAAGCCATGTTAGAATAGTGTATAAATAACAAAGAATGACAGGCTGCAAAACATTTGTATAAAATACATATAAACCAAACCTTTTACTAGATGAAAACAATTAAACAAAATAAAGACAGAAAAGATGTGTCAGCTGATCATCATGGAAATTAACCAAAGGAAGGTAATTGCAATCACTGGAAAGTTATTTTCTACATGATGGTAGGATATCATAGATGACAAAAAGACAAATTAATTATTTCTCCTTGAGATCAATAGGAAAAATAGACTGTAAAAGATAGGAAATACTAGCAAAGGAATTAAATCTGTTAGGACAGCTCATACTTCATTTTTTTTTAAACTGCAGTTAATGTCAATACATACTGCATGTCTGCTCCCCAGGATAAATATATCGACAAGGATGCTCAAAAATAGTATGGTTTAATTTTGGACAAAATCTCTCAGTGATGAATTCTGCACTCATATGTCCATGCATGACTCCCACTGACTTGGACAGGTGACGCGCACACACATCCAAATGGGGAATTTGGACTGGAAAGGTTAGGAAGTATAAACAGGAACCGAAAGAAAAATATTGTTACAACACAGGAAAAATATTAGTTCTTGGGGACAGCAATTGATAGAAGTCATGCAGGAATTAAGTGTAAAAGGAGGGAAAAGATGGATTTTCTTGAAGTAATTACATATGGAACACCTGTTACTTGGGGAGGAAAGGGATTTATATTTTTATGTTGCCAAAACTTTTGCTATGAAGCCACTGTGATGTTTTTGAAATCACCCTGACCTGTAAGGGGTTCTGTCACTGCCTGCCCTGTAACCTTAAGGTGTCTTAATTCTGTGTTGCTATGGCTCAGATCCCTGACACCAGTATCCTGCCCACAAGTACAAGGTCTCACTCTGGCTTCCACCAGTCTAGTTACCCCTTGGAGGGTGACGCCAACAGCCTTTCTAGTCCCAAGTCTCCCCATATCTGTGCTCTCCGAGTTCTTAACTACCAGACACTCGGACAGTTCCCCTCTGGTTCATCACCGCTGATGGCGTGAAACCAGCCCCCCAGTTATCACGTCACTTTGGCTCCCCATACTCCCCACAATTTACACACCAGAAACCTGCCTGGAATAAAAAAACAAAAGTTTATTTAATAGAAAATCCACTGATTCACATATGAAATAATATGGGGAAGCAAACACATACAAATTACACAGAAACTAAATATAAAGTCGCATCCTCGGATTTTACACTTCCATAGTAGATAAAATATTTTTTTCTAATACAAGTTAACTATTGTATTTGCACAGTTTCCCAGCAAGCATACCTCCTGTCTATCGCGGGGGGGGGAGTGAGGGGGGAGGGGGAGGAACCAATGTTCACACCCAGCCTCCCGCCTAGAGGCTGTCCCTCAGTTTCTGGATGGATTTCACTTCCAACCCCTTCCATTTTAAAAGGGGTTGCAGTATTTTTCTTCAGTCACTATAGGTATGAAATGTGAGGAAATTCTCAGCTGATTCAATGTCTTCACATTAACTCTAATGGTCCCTCATTGTCATTTCCTGTGCTGGATAATGGAGGGGTACTTGAAGTTGGCTGTGTGTAAACATCTGGCTTGGGAGATGCTTCTCTCTTCTTGACTGCTTCACCACCCTGCTGTGAGGTGGATCTGAAGCTGTCCCACGGATTAGGAGTACAGTTTTATATATACACAAATACATAGATTTATAACCATAGTCTGTACACATATCTTACAGCGACCATCAAGTTCAGAACAATATACGGTTTCATAAAAGACCTTACTCAATATAGTTTATAGTACATTAGCATTGGATACAATCGATTTAGCTGCTTATTTGGGGGGTTTAAACCTTCTGTTCTCCCCTTTAGGTGACTGGACCCTGATTGTTACATAAGAACATAAGAATGGCCATACTGGATCAGACCAAAGGTCCATTCAGCCCAGTATCCTGTCTACTGACAGTGGCCAATGCCAGGTGCCCCAAAGGGAGTGAATCTAACAGGTAGGGTGACCAGATGTCCCGATTTTATAGGGACAGTCCCGATATTTGGGGCTTTTTCTTATATAGGCTCCTATTACCCGCCACCCCCGTCCCGATTTTTCACACTTGCTGTCTGGTCACCCTACTAACAGGTAATGATCAAGTGATCTTTCTCCTGCCATCTATCACCACCTTCTGACAAACAGAGGCTAGGGACACCATTCCTTACCCATCGTGGCTAATAGAAATTAATGGACTTAACCTCCATGAATTTATATTACAGACACTCCTGTCTGTTCTGAATAACAACAATATATCTCTGAGACACAAGGTGGGTGAGCTAATATCTTTTATTAGACCAACTTCTGTTGCTGAGAGAGACAAGCTTTTGAGCTTACACAGAGCTCTTCTTCAGGCCCTGAAGGTCATTTCATAATGACCTGAAGAAGAGCTCTGTGTGGCTCGAAAGCTTGTCTCTCTCACCAACAGAAGTTGGTCCAATAAAAGATATTACCTCACCCACCCTGTCTCTCTAATATCCTGGGACCAACACAGCTACAACAACACTGCATAAGATAACTCTGAGGTGATCTAATAGAGATTCTCAGATTTATAAGAGAGAATTATAGATGTCTCTGGAAATTGGTTATGAATAGGTTTATGAAAAGGATCATAATAGTTGCACTCATATCTACCCAGTTTCAGGCTTTTGGCCTGTGACTCTCACTTTTGGGGAATTTCTTAAACTGTCAGAACACTGTCCAAAATCTCAGGACCATTGGTGGTGATGCAGCTGCAGGTGCTGGGGCTGGTATGAAATTGACAGTAGAGGAGCAATGGAGAGGTCCTGTTCCAACAGGTACACAGGAGACAATTCCTACCATCCTCCGGGTGACCCAGGAACTTCTTGGTGCCAACTGGCAGAGGGCACAGGGGTTTACAGGGATCTTCTGGGTCTGATGTCTACATAGTAGCATGGCAAAGGTGGCATGTGAGGTCTTTACCAAGAACCAGGAATGCACTGGTCATGCTAGTCATTATGAAACGTACGTACCAGTAATATTTATGAAGTTAGGTATCTATACTGGAAATTAAGTTCTTAAAGCCTTGAAGTTAAAAGTAGGTCACCAGGAGGTGACATGCTGTGGAGAGATTCTGGTCAGGCAAGGGATAGGACATGCTTCTCTCTCTGTGTCTGGTCAACTGTATAGTGTGCATTTTGTGTCCCACAATGTAAACCTATCTGCATGTGGAGCCAGATACAAATTAAAAGACTGTAAGGTCAACAAGAGAAGGAGGTCACAGGAAAGAACAATGAGTAGAGCGTGTCCTGTTTACAAATAATAAGATCAAAGGACTGTTATGATATATCTGGGATTGCAAAGAGATGGGATCTTTCCACTGAGTAGGCAAGGGGACAGTGTGACTTATCTCATGAACGTGAGACCACAGCCAAGTCTGGCTGTAATACACTGGAAGGATTTTGGGTAAGCTTTTGCTCTATGTGATATGACAATAACTATCTAAGCAAGTTTAGGCTCTAGAAAACATGTTATAATTTTATTTTATATATGTAACCATTTGTTTCCATTAATTCTACTTGCTTCTTCTCAAATCTTGCTTCTTTTTTAAACCAAATTCTTCTTTTTACGGTAAATGTATCTATGTGCTGTGTGATGAGCAGAGTGGTGATCCTGAGGAGTAACTGGTAAGCTGGTGTGTACTGGTCCTTTGGAAGTAGTGGATCGGCAAATTCTCTGAGTGTCCAGTGGAAGAGGGGCCAAACACTCCAGGGCATGCTCAGAATGCTTGGGGTGCAGGGGGAGGTTGGAGTGTACCTATTGCTTACCTGCAGAGAGACAGCCAAGCCTGCATGGGCTGAGAGGGGAACGCTTGTGTTGCCTGTGGCTGTTGGAGCCCTCCTCAGACTAAGGCAGGGATTAGCAAGGTGCCTCATACAGCATTATTATTTTCCTCATGTAAAATGAAACCTGTAAATGTATCCGAGATGTCAGTGCAAAGAGAAACCCAGGTATACCGGTGCAGGCCTGTGTGGAAGTGGAGGGGGTCACTAAAAAGGGAAATCTCAGGCTTTCAATTTTCCACTGTAAGCAGGTATAATTTCACATCACTTGGCCACCGTTTCACCATGTGTATGCACAGGCACGAGAGAAGGCCTGAAGCTGGCATGATCTAAGTTTCTACAGTAGATAAAATAAGGGTACAGATGACCATAAGAAGCATTTACCCTTGTTCCTGCATGAGCATGGGACTGACGCCACGGGAATAAAGGAGGAAGGTGGGATTAAGATGAATTGAGAAGAGACAGGCACGTCAGGCAGAGTGACCTTTCCCTGATCTACCATTTATGTCACATGCACCAGAGGTAGAGTGAATTCAGCAACAGATAAACGAAGTGAAAGAGCATTTGTTCAGTGTCTCTGGCTTACAGTCTCTAGACTGCACACCTAGGCCTCCCTGAAGTCAATAGGCATTTTGCCAGGGGTAAATAGGACCCATTTGTCAATGGGGCCAGGATTTCACCTTTGGAATGTTACAGCCAGATTTTGCCACCCCATCTCACGCAGTAGCAATTTTCTATTGAAATCAGTGGGGCTGTGTGCATAGATGTATGAGTTCAGAATCTGGCTCTTAGAAGCTCCATACTGCAGGTTGGACTGGTTTGAGATGACTGGAGGAAACAAAAAGTGAAACTGTGTGTTCTTCTGGGAGATACGGGGGGTGTCTGAAGCCAGTATGAGGGGTATTGGGATGTGAGGATTCCAGTTCATTAAGCCTGTTGGATACTTTTTTGACAACGTGGAGTGCCTTATTGATCCAGATATCCCTGATGCTACTATAGTTTATGTAGCATGATGAGATGTATATATATTACCGGTAGCTGATATAGATATCATTTGGTTGTGCTGCTTTGA